CGCTTGTTTAAACATTGGTCGAATTTTTGTACTATAATTTTGTAATTTTGTAATATAATGAGTTAATTTCTCATTTGCTTATATTTTTAAACAGTAAATAATATTTGAATTATACTTTAATCACAAAAGGAATGATGATTAAATTAATAATTATTTAATTACTAATTTTCGACATATTTTGAAAATAATTGTTGTTTAAACAATTTTAGAATATTTAAATAAATTTGTTTTTGACCTTTAATAAACAGTATATAAGTTTATGCCCTTACTTTTGGTGCAATAAAAAAATAAAGTTGATAATTAAAGGAAGTTTAGAGATACATAATTATCGGACTGTTGAAAGACCAATAAATTATTAACGATAGGCATTTGAAAATACGCTAATTGTTTTTTTAAATCGCGAGATATCGATTTAAAAAAAAATCATCAAAATCGGACCTCTAAAACCTGAGATATTAAAAATTTCTAAGCGCGTCGCGGTTTTGAACTCGCCGATTCAATTTTGAGCAGGCCGAAGCGACCGGCTGCGCTCTCTGCTTCCCCCACCGCCACCACCCGTACGATTTTCTTGAATTTCTCGCTTGCATAAATAACTTTAACCGCGTTTTTAAAGTAGGTTGCCAATGAAGAAAAGTATTGCAAACTTAGACCTGGTAAGTACTCGGAATACCAAGGTATTTTTCGAAAAATTAGCCCGGATGTCCCAGTACATTTAGTGTAAATGACGGTTAACTTTGATCGACTATAACTACGTAACTACGTAACTTACCAACCGATCTGTTTTTTTTAAAGAAGCGTCTTTTCAATAACTTTTAAAACTTGCTTTAAAAAATTTGATTTGATTGAATATTCACAAAGTTATTCTAATTGTTTATAAGTACAAAAATTCGACCAATGTTTAAACAAGCGCCAGAGCTCTCCTAATTGACGGATTCGAATTGGATTGCAAAATTATTATGCAAAATCTATCGAACCGATTTTGATGAAATTTTGGTAATAACATATATTTTGGAAATAACATGAAGTTTTCTTTAGCCAAGTATAAAGGTCCTATACCTAATTTAAATACCCCAAAAAAATCCCTAAAAAGTATTGTTTTTTAACCCCATTTTTGCGATTTTTTCGATTTTTACCATAATAATCATGATTCATTCGATTTGTAACTAGTCGTGTTTTGTAAAAAATTTTATTACAAACATTTTTTTCCTCTACCATCTTCGCCTAAAATCAACTCTTGAAAAGATACATAATTAAATAGGAAGAAAAATATGACATTTTTCGAATTTTTTTAACATATTGTGCGGCATATCTCCGTGGATATACGATTCACTCAAGCCAAAACAGATACCGCCTAGTCTAATAGGTCCGATAAGTTTTTCATATTTAAATCAAAGTAGCCTGGTAAATAAAAATGTTGGTTGCTATAACAGTAATTATTATTTGTGTCATTTTGTTTATTCATTTGACACTTAGCGTTAAAGTGTTAAATAAAAATTGCATTTATATACAACTGAAGAGTATGCAGATATTGTCTTTGTATAAGTGTATTCCAATGGGAACACCAGACAAACAGCCCGAAAATACCGTTGAAGATACCCAAATAGTATCTGGCCACACAGCATCATTTCGTAGACTTTGAGAAGAAGGTAACCCCACTCCAAAAGAGACGATTCGTTCCACTGAAGTGAATGTACAAAATGAAGAAAATATAATAGATGCTGTCATTGACAACTCCTTAATTAGTGTTCGGCGTATAGCAAGTAATCTTCATTTATCACCGAATTTTGTATGGCGTGTATTGAACAGAGAAATGTTACATCTGCTTCATCACCAAATTGTACAAGCGTTACATGCTGGAGATACTCCTCAGCAATTAGAATTTTGTCGCTGGTTATTTTAACAACATGCACAAAATGATAGATTCATTTCGCTTGTCATGTGGTCTCATAAAGCGTGTTTTAACTAAATCGTTACAAAAGCCACATGCAAATAGATCAAGACGATTTCAGCAACGTTTCAGTGTCAACGTTTGGGGTAGCATGTTCAACAAATTTACTGCCTGTAGATGTTTTAAATGATCGTTTAAATGTAGATCTGTATCTTGGAAAACAACTTTTTTGATTTCATTGATGACGTACGGCTTAATATTGTGTAAAAATATGTGGTATCAGCACGATGGTTCACCACCACATACAGGGCGACTAGTAACTTCTTGGTTAAATGATCATTTCCCGAATAAATGGATACGTAAACAAGGTCCAATAGCATAGCCACCGCGTACTCTAAATCTAAATCCTTAGGACTTTTATTTACGGGGATATATGAAGCCGCTTGTCTACCAAGTTGAAATCACTACTCGTCAGCAGTTATTTAAAAGAATTCAGGATGCAGCTAACCAGATAAGAAATGATTCAAATCTCATCCGTCAAGTGACGGAATCTTTAGTTGGACATTGTAAACAATAGTTATATAGTCTTAAGATTTGTTAATTTGGTTAATAAAGGTTAGCTAATGTTTAAACTTTAAACACAAATAATAGTTATTGTTATAGCTACCATCATTTTTATTTATCAGGCTACCTGATTTATTTTGTTCACATTTCCCCTATAATTTGTTTTAAGTATAATTCTGTAAATTTTAATAAACAACTTTTATATATTTTTATGGAAAAATTAAAATACTTTTTTTAAAACAGTAGTTATTTGTGTTGAACCACGATATAAAAAAACATTCATTAAAGTCTATATATTCTATATTTTTTATGAAAATATAATTGTTTCCAAAAATGCAATTCTAAATTAGTAATAAATAAGTAACATTAGAAAAAATCTGCTTCATAATATTTACCTATCATTTAACAAGGATTCTTTTTTTCCAGCTGTGAGGGAGGACCGAATGCCAGGCGGCCGAAACAGCGGCGCCGTGTACAACCTCTACAAAGTGAAATACAAGAAGCACAAGAAACCATCCGGCAAGCAGCCCCCTAAGGCCATGGAGAAGAACATCCTGAGCCAGCAGTTCAAGCAGGAGCAGGACCAAGCATCCAGTATTCCATCGAACCTAGTCAATGGGACCATCCTGAAGACAGCATTAACCAACCCGAGCGAGGTGATCCGTCTGCGGCAGAGACTCGACAGTGCGGTTAGCAGTTCTAGGGACCGTAACTTCTCAATAGAATACTCCTTATCGATGATAAAAACGTTAATAGACTGTGATGAGTTCCAAGACATAGCGACTCTGCAAAACTTGGACGAGCTGTTGGACCACAACACGGACCTGAGTGAGAAACTATGTAATATCGGTGATTCGATTGTGTATAAACTTGTGCAATGGACTAAGAGACTGCCTTTCTATTTGGAATTACCGGTGGAGGTGCACACTAGACTCTTGACGCATAAGTGGCACGAGCTACTCGTTCTCACGACGTCGGCGTACCAGGCCATACACAAAGCGGGTGATCAGATGACGACCGTCATCGAAACCGATTTCAACCAGGAGGTGAGTACCGCTTTGCTCCACTAACTTTCAATTCATAATTTAGTTTATTTTATAACTCCTTCGCGAATAAAAACACATTTCTGTTGGAACACCGAACTGTATCAGCAGTAAGTACGTTAAAGAAATGATTTAGGTACTTAGACTCCAGTTGAATTAGATCGTAAATCCTGGAAACTTGCAAACGTTTTTAGAAGGCATTTTATTGCACTTTATGAAGGGTATGTAAAGTGTAAGTTGGCAAATTGCAAATAAGTGAAAAATTTACGTGTTTTTCACTTTTTTTAGGTATCTAAAGTCATATTTCACCAATTTGTTAACTGTAAAATAAAGGTCGAATGCGGAAAAGTCATTAATTAATTTCGTAGCCCATTACAACTAATACAGTAGGAAACAGCATTATAAACAAATTGTCCCAGGGTCAAGCAAAAGCCGCTCGGGAATTCGCTCTTTTTGCATTAAATAGATCTTATTTTTATGATAATTTAAGAAAAAGAGATATTACCTACGCCTCTTTGTTCCCATGATAACTTTTTTACAATGTTAATTGGTAGTTAACTGTTGGACGTATGGGACCAGGATTTTAGCGACAATTAAAGGAAAGATTAAACTTTTATTTTAAAAAAGTTTTACATTGATACTTCATGTAATAAACGCGCTAGCAGCAGTAAAAGTTAACATTAATGAATGGCCTGCATGCGGCAGAAGGAGCGCCCAGACCGCGCTTGCGCGTGAACGTCGCCCTTGTCACGCGCGAGATTTTTGACTTGAACGTTTCAAATTCGGTTTTTTAAATTTTCAGGTTTTATGATCTAATTCGACTGGAGTAACAACATTTTCTCTGCTACTGAAAAAAATATATATGTATTATAAAATAATAGATAAATGCGTAAGATACTTCATTTCACGTACTGATAGCTAAAATAAAAAAAGAAGATAGTAGTAATTTATTATTTCCCCATATGCACAACAACCAATATAATTTTTTAACCGAATTTGAAACGTTCATAGATATCACGCGCAGCACAATCATAGTGTGATACCACAAGGAAAGCAATTTTTATGAATAATATTTATGTATAAAGCAATATTTATGTATAAAACAGAGCGATAAACATATGTTTGCAATTTTTTTTGTTTTATAGTTTCTTCAAAAAAGCTGTTGTCACAAATAAACTCTAAGACAAACTGTATAGTTTGCAAAAGGGAATAACTTATCCGAAATCATAGAAAACTAGAATCTAAACCGAATTTTTCAAGAACACGAAAAGCTTCAGCCACCATTAGTCGAATACCAAAAGCTTCAGCCACCATTAGTTTATTTGCTTATTTATTACACTATTCAATAGTTTAACCAAATACAGAATGAGCACTATAGAATTAAAATTATAGCAATAGCATTAAAAATTACATCATATACAATCAAAAATCTTTTAACATTGATTGCTGCTCTATCTTTTAACTCGTACTTAATTCCTTTTCTTCACGTAACATCATTCGCGAAAATATAACACATTCTTATTAGAATACGGAGCTATAAGAGCGGTTGTAGTTAATGCAGTCACTAGAGAAATATCTGTCACACGTGAACAAATGACGTATAGTGTGGATGGTGCATATCGATACATTCAAAAACATATCTTCGCTTGGCAAATATTTGCGAAGGCTGTACAAATAGTGCACCAACAGTTTGTACTCGGCTCCTGATGCAATAAACATCAGTAGGGTTCATTTCCATAGACTTCAATTTGTAATCTCTTTACATTCGTTAAAAAAAATGATGAACATACACAAGTGGCTAAATTGCGGACAATTGGCTCATATTTTACATATGTACGTCGTCTGCATAATAACGTACAAACTGGCGCTTTAGATTTTGGCCAATATATTTGACGATTGTTTGGCGAGTGGCATCATCAACTGTTACAAAAAATTCATCAAATTCTAGTACAGACTGAACCAAACTTTTCATATCGCAAGAAAATTTAAAAAACAGATTTGTGACCACTATTTTGAGTAACTGTTAAAACTTGCTTTAAATGATGACTACATCATTGATTAATTAACCAAGTCCTAACCGAGACGCAAAGTACTGGTCCTTAAATCAGTTATTTGTCGTTAACCATACTCATACTGTATGTAAAGTAATTCCACTGAATCACACCCCAATACGAGCTTCGTAGTCCTTAATTCACTGGACCTAAAATCAGTTTAGTTTTCTTTGTCTTTTTCTAAGCTACTAGAATTTTGTATTTCGTTAACTTCGATGTGTCAGTCATTTGAATTATCTTTGTAGTCAAAAGAGTCGATTTGCAACTTTGTTTAACAATGTCACTTCTTCGTTTATATTTAAGTGATAGCTCATTTGTTATACAGTTTCACTTTGTACTTCGGTCCAACAACTTTCGATTGTAATACGTCAATAGGTTCGGCTTACTGACAAATGCGCCTCCATACGACGGCAATAATATTGTTGAAGATTTTAATGCTTAAGATTACAAAATTTCACAATATTAAAAGATTTTCTATAGTGTCAGGATTAATAATAATAGTAATATTTTACTTACAATGTAAATGTAAGTACAAAATTAAAAATAAAAAGAATACAATAATACCTATTATAACATACATTGCAAAATGGGGCTAAAACAATTAACAAAAGTTCAAACTTCAAGTAATAAAATATCTACAATAAAGGTGATTTCTTATGGCGGTTTTCCACTAAAGGGACAGTTGAGTTTATGTCCTGTTTGTGTTTTCTAGAACCTGAAAAACGAAAATGAAACTGAACTGAAACAAACCCAAAACTTTTGTTTCCATCAAGCGGGCTACATTTTGTTCGAGTTGTGTCTTTGTTTTCGGTCCTTTTCCACTGATTGTTGCGAAGAAGTCAGAACACATTTTTCCAATAATCAACCAACATGTTTAGAGGAGATTTTTTATTAGTTAGTTTGTATACTAGCCAAGTAAACTCCTTAACCATACACATATATATATTTTTTAACAGATATAATTCATTAGTGATTAAAATATTCCAACTGTCGCAAAACACGCCAGTCTTCAAAAAGTCTGCGAAAAGTTACAGTTCTGTTTTATTCGACACAAGTTTGTGTTTTGTTTTTGTTTTGTCCGTTTAGTGGAAAACCGCCTTTAGGTCTGCACTAAAAGAAACCCACATAAAAAATTTCGAATAAAATTTTAAATAATAAAGAAATAATAAATAAAATAATGACCACCGATACAAGTAAGTTTGCGTCTGAGATAGCTCCGCCCACAAATGCGCACCGGACACGGTAAGAGAAACGCTTCAGAACCGAATGCGTTCTTTCTCAATCTCACGCAGCTCTTCCTGGGTCAGAAACGCAAATTTATTTGTCAGTCTGTAAGTAATTGTGTTTTAATGGAATTAAAGAAAGCAGGTAATACATCAAGGGTTTTACCCATTTTTGCTTTCTCTCCCAACTTTTTATATCTAGCATGCGCTCTCTCACGTTTGTGCAACCAGATGAAACTGGTCGATCGTACCTACAAACATCATATAAAATAAAGTCAACAAATTGAGCATGACTGAAAATAAGTTTTTTTAATTTTATTTTAAAATACGCGGGATTCAATGGTTTAATACAGTGTTTCCCAAAGTGTGGGTCGCGACCCCCCGGGGGGTTGCAGTGAGGTATTAAGGGGGTCGCCGGGAATTTCCAAAATAAGAGAAAACTCCACTTTATGTATATTTATTCTAATAAAGTCGTAGGTAATTATTAACAATTTGTTATCAAATGAAACATTAAACTAAATAATATTAATAAATCTTAAAAGTAAAGCGAAAAATAAAGTAAAATAGTATAGTGTTAATGACACCCATGCGCCTGTTTTTTTGAAACCAGTCTTTCAAATCTGGCCTGTGTATTTGAGACACACAAAATTATATCATTTTCCAGTTCCAGTCGATTTCTCATTTTTGTTTTGATGGCAGTCATAGATGAAAAACTTAACTCACAATCAGATAAATACAATGTTACGAATGGAACCAAATATAACACTTTTGATTAATTTATTTTTATTGTAAATATTGTATTTGGCAGAAGTGCTATTAGTTAACTGTTAAATTTAATTTTAATGTATTTAATTTAATCTTGAACAATAAGGTAAAATAAATTTTCAAAAATAATCAGTTCATTGTAATTTTGGCACGCTATTTTGGTTTGAGTGATGAGTAGGGGGGTCACCGAGAAAATTTTTAACAAAAAAGGGGTCGCGCTTTAAATAAGTTTGGGAAACACTGGTTTAATATCTATTAGAACGATATTGGCACCTGTAAAACATAAATTGAATATATGGACATCTGTATGAAAAGTTATTTTATTTAGTAAATATAGAGGTACCAGTAAAATAATAAATCATGAAATGATGCAATAAAATAAAGCTTCCTTCTATTCTTCATAGTTAATTACCGGCAATTAATTAGCAATCTTAAGCAAGATTTTTGTAAGTTCACAGTTCTATTAATATCCATTTGATCAAGACATAAACAATGTCGCAATAATTAAATTGACTAAGAACCAAGGCATCCGATAGTTCAATTTTAACTTTACGTGAAAGATTATGACGTCTTGATTATAACATTTTTGAGTTACAGCATTTTGAATACATTTGTTAATGTCTAGAAGTCCGTATCTAATCTCTATTGTAGGGAGAAATACAGGGTTTCTATAAAAAATATGTCTGAAAATATTTTTAAAATATCTCTATTATCTGTCGATAAAAAAATGTATTTTTAGCGATTTAGACAGAATACTCCCTTTTGGAACGAAGTCAGCTCAAATTCCATGAAGATTTTGGTGAATTTAGAAATCTTTTTTGAAAAATCTGCTGTATGAATCGGTACTAGAACACTTTAAGTGCTATTTTCTTTATAATATAGGTAACAATTTTTTATCCATATGATTTGATCACAAATAGTAGGTACATATTTTAAAATAAGTACCTTTGATTTCTGGTGCACG